ATTAGGTGAGATCAACATACTCATTATTGTTCAATGATCGTATTAGATGGAGGTAGGAGGTTCATCGGGAGATTTGGAATTGGAATATACCTTTAAAAGTACAAGGCTTTATTTGGGTTATACTTTGAGGTAAGGCTTTGACTATTGATAATTTGAGAAAAAAAAGGGGAAGGTGTTGGTTGAAAAAACGGGAAGGTGATGGTTAATGTTTGCCTATTTTGCAAAAAATGATGAGCAAACTCGATGGGAGCTTAACTTTGATGGAAGCTCGATGGGAAATCCAGGTCGACTGGTTATGGAAGAGCAATTCGGGATTGGCAAGAAAATGTCATTATTGCTTATGCAAGGCCATGCGGAGTTGCGATGGCTAATCATGCAGAACTACTTGCTATTTTTCATGGATTGAAACTTTTAGCGGCAAGAAATAGCATGGGGGGGTTTATTGTTGAAGGGGATTCGCTAAATGTGATTAAATGGTGTAAGAGAGAACAACGCCTTCCATGGCAACTCAAGTTACTTGGGAACTAGATCTTTGCCATTTTATCTTCTGTGACGGTGTCCCTAGTTCATGTTTACAGGGAAGTAAATGTTCTGGCAGATTCCTTGGCCAAAAAAGGAGTTCAGTTGGACACGTTGGTGATTTCTACTAATATCTTTAATATCTTGTAATTTTCTCTGCTATCAATAAATTTGGAACATGCATCAAAAAAAGAAAAATGATGAAGAAACATGTATCCATCTTTTCATTTTATGTCCGTTTATATGGCATTTGTGGCAATGGGCATTGAAGTTAGTGGGAGTATCTATGGTTATGCCTTGAGAGTTTCTTCTGTTCTTTTATAAACAGTGTATGGCTCTCCATTTATTAGTGAATAAAAAAGTACTCTTTGTCAAACACACAAAAAAAAAAAAGGTATCAATCTGTCATAAATTTTCCCTTTAATTTTATCTATTTTCCCTGCATAAGATTAAGCTCAGATTTAGTGCGTCCAAATTTCTCACTATCACACATCCTAAAAAAATTAAAAAATAATAAATGATCAAAACATCCTTATATTATTTAGGGAACTTTCATAACTTTATATATTTTAAATTATTTTTAAAATATTTTAGGAGTGTATAATATTGAGAAGTCGAACATACTCACTTTGAACTTAATCTAATTTATAGAAAAAATAGATAGAATTAAAATATACTATATACTTTCAAAAAATGGGACTAGATATTTCTTAATTCCAAAAATTAAACAGGAATTGGGCAATTTTCCGAACTTATTCGGAAAAACCTACTGCGATCCATATTATCATAGAAAAAGTGATGATCCCACCTCACAAAGGGTTACCACCCTCCAATAAATCGATGTGCGCAGATGGAGAGAGAGTGGAATCTACGAGGGCATCACATATTACAAATCAGTCCCAAAGTCTCTCTCCATTGTCATTGATTAATTATTTGTACGGTTTAAGATACATCTTTGGAGCTTCTTTCTCTAGGAAGTAACTAGTGCATGCCTAGAGTGGATGCACTAGTATATGTCAGCAGTTTAAATTGAGTATGGGTCGATTCGGTAAGTCATAATTGTATTTTATATTTAAGTTTGGATGTGGTTTGCATAAAGGTTGCAACCTTAAACAATCCATTCAGTGCACCTTTAAATTTTATCATACATGTAATTTTGATTTAAAAATTGGTAGGATGGCTTAAGAATCTATTTTCATATCATACTATAAAATTTTGGATTTTAAAAATAGTTCAAATCAAGTAGATCTATAAATACATGAAAATATTAAAAATTGACGGTCCAGATAATGTGTTGCAAGATACACTATTTTGAGGACTAAAAAATCTTTTTTTTCTTTTCATATTCAAGCATATCGATGTCGAGATGATTAATTAAATGATTTTCTAACATCCGAACAACTTTTTATGATGGATTTTTGGGGTGCATCTTTAATTTTATATTTTAAGGTTGCAACATTATATAAACTTTTTTTTTTAAGTTTTAATAATTTTTTTATAAATCTAAATTACTTGAAATTTGAAAGTCCACACTTTTAATTAAAACGTATTTAATAAGAATATTTAAAAATTAATTTATAAAAATAAATTGATTAAAATAGTTTAACAAACTTTAAAATATTTTGACCAATTTATCTGTATAAAAAAATTTAATATTTTATTATATATTTATTTTTCAAATCCACGAATCGTAAGTGATTTAAATATGTAAAAAAAAATTAAAATTTAAAAATAAAACAGTATAATGGGCGGCGCTTATACGTTAGGTTGACAAATTTCTTTTTCTCCTTTATTTATGTATTGTAATTAAGTAACACTTATCTTCTTTCAAAGTATCTTTAGTATAACCATATCTTCGAAAAAAGACGGTTATACCCTCATATGTTCAAAACCCATAGTTTTGGCAATGACCATTGTGCCCTTCCATGGAAAAGGCCAAGGGCAGAGGACATAATGACTGTGATCCTTGTTTTTTCCTGCAGCCCACGTGGAGATCCATTTCACCTGTAAAAGATCAGTCAAGGGAAAAATTTATTTCTTTGGTTACGTTTTTCTATTTGCTCTTCACTCTCTCCCCTCTTTTCACTCTCTCTCCAAATTCTTTCCTGGGTTTTTTTACATGAGTTAAAAAAACATTTTCATCTACCTCTTCTCCATCTTAATTTGCACTAGCCCCATAGAGCCGGTTTAGGTCCAGCCTGGTGTGGATCAAGCCAAAGAGGTCCTAGTCTAGTGTGGATCAAGCCAAAGAGGTCCTAGTCTAGGACCAGCCCTATCAAAACACTGCAAAGCTAGGCCAAAAACAAAGGACAAAAAAAAATGTAAAAACTAAGAGGGCCAAGCTGGGCCAAACCACTCCGGCCTAACATGACCCTGGTCCTAGCTCGGCCTGATTCTTGGGCCATGGTGACTTGGACGAAGCCTGGCTGTCAGGCCACTTTTGTGCAGTGGGCCCACTTACTTAAGGCCTCGCTAGAGCAGCTGGCCCGTTGCCAGCCTGAATTGTGTATGGAGATGTGTGAATTTTCGTTTTGTATTATTCGTCTAATAATTTGCTTAAAAAAGTTGTCAATATTTACGTAATTTCACACATGTTATAAGACATAATTTCGACTTAAGGCTAAAAACGTCATTAGGCCACCAAAGGAACACCTGGACACTCAAGAAAGGTTTTGGGTGTTTATGTCATTTGGTAAGAAGCTAGAGACAAATTATGTCATTTCTCGTAATAAAATTACAGCGCTTGCACCGTCTGTGAGTTTTCTCAGGCCCTCTAGGTGCAGAGAGAGAGAGATAGAGGGGCTTTTTGGTTAGTGCACAAGGAAATAGGGTTTTTGTATGGAGCATTAGTTGCTGAGCTGCTTCATATCTCCTCTGGAAATGGGAGAAGTAAGTCTAAATTCCTCCATTACATACTCTGTAAATAAAAGCTTCCTTTTCAGTCTTTATAAACTTTTCAGATTTTTTGTGCTTTTTTCTTTAGGAAATTTTGATTTTCATTTATTTTCTACACTTTTTCATCGAAAAACATAATACAAGGTATGATCTTTTTCTCTTTGTGTAATTTCAGCTTCACATCTCTGCAAAAGCGTTCATTTTCTTTTGGGAAGTTTAGGCATCAACTTCGCTCCGTTTCAAAAAGATTATTTTGATTTTCTTCTAAATCTCCATTTTTTTGGATTTCACATTGTTTTTATGGGCCTTTTATTTATGAAATTAAGCATTGCTTCTCTTTCCTGCAGAACTTCTGCTCTCTCTCTCTGTTTCTGAAATTTCTATTTGGCCTTTTACAGTTAGTGACTTTGATTTGCTACTTCACTGAGTGGTTACTTTTGAGTTTTGCCTAAATATTCTAAAAGTTCTGCCTTCATTTTGAAAGATTTTTTTTTCAAGCCTTCCAAAGTGCAGTTCCACCATTATTTCTGCATTTTTTTTCCGAGTAAATAACTTTCTATAAAAAATTTTGTTCTTCTTCTTCATTTTTGTTTAGTCATTAGTGAGATTTATGCTGTTCACTAATTTACTCAAAATTATAAAGCTTCTTTGTTCATTCAAAATTTGGGTTCTGTTTTTGTTACTTTGGTTGGAAAACCTTAATTTGCATGCTTCAAATTTGCTTTGTTTTTAAAAGATAAGATATGCAGATTCCTTAACTTTTTCTTGACTGCCTGTCATTTCAATTTTTTTCTTTTTGAGAAAGATTAAATTTCCTAACTTTCAAAAAAAGAAAAAAAAAACAAAAGAAAAAGGATTGAGCAAAAGGTATCATGCTTTTTCCAGTAAAATCCTTGAATTTTCCGTCATTTTTTACCTTCAACTTTCAAATATTTGCTTAATTTTAGTAGAATCATCTTAAAAAATTATGAAGTTTCAAATTTCGGTTCATTTTGGTGAATTTCTTGAGATTTGAATTCAATGTACTTTTGTCTTTATTTATCTGAGTATTCAAGTTTCAGTAAATGTGGGAAAAAGAAAACTTCATTTTTGGGTAAAGTGCCTTATCTATTGACGAAAGGCGGTTGGGACCGAAAATAAGATAGCAGTTAATTTCAATGTTGTAGCCCAATATTTCGATATTTTTCAGTGAATAGCGGATTTTAAAAAGGATGAAGTTTCTATAGGGCTGCAGCCATCAGCACCGTCCATGCATTTGGACGGTGTAGATCTCACACACTCCTCGATGAGGGATATCCCATACGCCGCTTCCTACTCAGCTAGTTACTTAATCAATGAGAAAGAAGAATATCCTAACCATCTAAATTAACTAACATTTTCCTTCTAAAAATGGGCTTCCAATTCAAAGGAAGAGGAAGTGTACCATGCTCATATGATGTATATATATCATATGGTGTATGCTACGCCACATCGACAGGCACGCGTATCCTAACCATCGTGAATGGTAGACATTAGACATCCAAAGACGAAGAAAAAATTCGTTAATGTCTTACTTTGAGATGAACGGTGGATGTTCCATTTCCTTATTATCATACACAGCTTGTGTTTGGTGCACTTCCCATTTTGGTAACGAACCAATTTCGGAAAGAGGTCTTCTGCAAAAGCTATCATCCTCCTTTCAACTGTTACAAATCTCCATATATGTTTGTATCCCTAGAAAAATGACCATTTTGCCCTTATTTCACAAAAGTTCAGGAAAAAAAGAAAAAGAAGAAACTCTTATCCTATAAATAGGACATTATATTTTGGGTTCTATAATTCCTTATATTATCATTTAGAAGGCTAATATATTACTGTTTTTATATAACCCTATGTATTTTTGGTTAATTTAATAAAATAATTGAGAAGAAACCCAATTGGCCAGGTAGTGTATGTTCTCTATGTAATCATTTTTGGATTAAATTTTGTAGGAAAAGAAGGAAGAGGAAAAGAAAGAGGAAAAAAAAGAAGAAAATAAGGAAGAAGAAAAGAAGGGAGTGGAGAAGAAGGAAGAAGAGGGAAACCCAAATGAGGTCATCCTCAAAGTAGACATGCATTGTGAAGGTTGTGCTAGAAAGGTTCAACGCTCCCTCAAAGGATTTGAAGGTGAGACCACTCTCTCTTGGATACTAAAAATTTATGGAAATGTGGACAATAAAACTATTAATCTTTTATATAAGGAACTATCATTTCTGGCTGTTAGATTTGAAATCGGATGCTTGAGAGTGTGTCATTGACCACAATTGAAGCTTTAAAAAAATAAAAAAAAAGAGTTATCAAACTTTGTGACATACTCTACGTTATCTGATCTAATTTGATATTCGATGACTAGAATTAATTATGAGTCCATGGAGAAATGAGTCCTCTCTTCAAAAATAGATTTTTGAAATGGATTTTTGGACCCAATTTTTAAGAACATATAATCTTTAACATGGAGATCATCAATAAATAAATAAATTTTTAAATTTAAATATAAAAATATATTTGGACCATTAGTTTCAACTGCTTTAAGACAGACCACCCATTTGCATCCATCAAATATAAGAATGCGTCTCCCGACCATGGTTCTCAAAATCACCCGATCTAGCCGTTGACTGCTGGGTTAAATCAGGTTTTGGGCGGTTAGGGTGATCAACCTGTATTTTAAAAAAAAAAAATTCAAAAAGTTGTATATAAATTCTCAAAAATAAAAAATTTGATTTGTAATGTATTTTTTAATATTTTTTATATTATGGTAAAGATTGAAATTTGTTTTAATACTCACTTTTTATATCTTCTCATCACTTTTAGAAAATTTCAAAAATAGCCTTTGGAAAATATAACGTCTTTTAAAATCCATTTCTTTCATTAATTTTCAACTTCATTTGAATGTGGTTTGTTTTAACTCTTTATATGTTTTTCACATTTTAGTATTTTTTTTTTTTTAACACCTTTTTTACCGCCCAGGACTTGTCCGGTTAGAGCGGTTGAATCGACCTGTTTACTTATTTGGCCGGTTAAACCGCTTCCAAGCCCATATATGATTAACCATTTCGGTTCGATTTTGCGATGATCCTGACGAAGGGAACGATTTTCCTTAACTCCTTATTCCCAAAATAAATTATCCCATAATATACAATCCTAACATTTAAGCGTGCAACGCACCAAAATCATTTTACTAGAGCGTAGGGTAATTATTATCCAATCATTTTAGTTGAGGATAGTTCACTCAGATTTCCTACGCATGTAAAACTGTAGGAAATGTCAGCACCTGCTGGAAGGTATCCTACGTCACTAACTGTCCTTTTCCACGGGCTCTTTTGACAAAGGGTGTGGTTTCCATAAGGTTGCAACCTTTGAACAATGCAATTGAGTCGCCTTTTAAATTTTATCATGTAATTTTGGTGTAAAATACTTTTTAGGATTATTTAAAAATCTATTTTTATATTTAATTATAAAATCTTAAATTTTAAAAATTGTTAAAATCAAGTATATCTATAAACATGTGAAAATCTTGAAAATGTACTGTCTAGATAAAGTATTGTAAAATGCATTACTTTTAGGATTCAAAATCTTTTTTTATTTTTTTTTCATATTCATTTCTCTCGATGTCGAGATGATAAGTTAGAGGGCTTTTCAACATTAAAACAACATTTTCCGATGGATTTTTTTATGTGCGTCTTTATTTTTACATTTTAAGGTTAAAACCTTACAAAAACCACATCCTTATTTGAAAATCTATTATTTTTATATCTAATTATAAAATTTTAAACTCCAAAAATGGTTAAAATCAAGTCGATCTATAAATATATGAAAATCTTAAAAATGGATGGTCTAGATAATGTGGTGCAAGATACACTATTTCTGAGACTCAAAATCATTTTATTTTTTTTTCTATATTCATTCATCTCGATGTTGAGATGATAAATTATAGGGTTTTTCAACATTAAACAACATTTTTTTATAGATGTTTGAGGTGCATCTGTAATTCTACATTTTAAGATTGCCACCTTACATAAACTTTTTCCTACTATAAAACTATTTATCTATGAAACAGAAGACATTACAATCACCCCTAGCCATCACAGATGTGAAATTTGAAGTGACAAATTTTGAGAAATTTTATTTGAGACTTTGAGACGGTTAGTAGTACATCTAGCCACCTGATTATATATCTGACGATCAAGAGTGATTGTGACTTTCTTGTATTGAAGTTAAATAGTCTTATTATATATTTCATTTAAGAATAATTTACAGATTTATTTTTTATTTGAGAAATATCATTTGAAATCACTCAAAAACAATATTTGCGCAAAGCCCACCAATTTGCCCACAAATAGTTGCTTTAAAAAAAATCATTCAGTTAAGCACCTCCCAAATCGGTAATATATATATATATATATCCTTTGTTCCATATTTAAAAGCCTTAATTAGTAGAGGCATTTTTGGTAATTTACCGAGTTAAGTGGCCCCAGTGAAAATCGTGCAGTTCTGGTTCCATGATTCTTTCACTAAAATATCAAAACAAGCGAGGTTGCTATTCTTTTGACAATTTGACATTATATGAATTTAAGGATACTTCAAAATCCGCGCCCCTATCAAGTGAAGATGTCATTGTAATTGTTTTTTGTAAAATTGAAGGGTGGTCTCTCTGTTGACATCCATGTTATTTTAGAGGAAAATTTGACTTGCGCCCGTATTTTTCAAAATGTATATTGTTATTCATAAATTTCTCCCAATTTTATTTTGGATCGGCTTTTATGACTAGGAGTTAGCCGACTCATGTGTACACATGCGTTCTCCTTCCAAAATCCATCTTAAAGATGGACTTTTTGATATGAGTTTTTAGCTATTCATGATCTAGGCCAACGTGATCATGAATTAAAAGAAATAAAAAATAACAAAATTGAGTATGTGTTTTTTAGAGACTTTTATTGCACTGCAATATAATATTTTAGTCCTGCACACTTTGAAATATGTCCATATGGACGTTTGTCGGTCAGGTGATGCATATCAAGATGGATTCAGTGTTTTTCACTTTTCTCAAATTTTTGCGGACTTAATTATTTTTTTATTTTTTATGAATGTGTTTTTGTAAGTGTTTTTTAAAATACAAAAACACATTCATAAAAAATAAAAAAATAATTAAGTCCCCAAAAATTTGAAAAGAATGAAAAACACTGAATCCATCTTATCTTGATATGCATCACCTTTTTGTGCCAACTGACTCATATAAAACTTTTCCTCTCATGTTTGCCTTCTCTTCTCTCATACACTAATCCTTCAGGTGTAGAAGAAGTGCTAACGGATAGCAAGTCTCGCAAGGTAGTGTAAAAGGGAACAAACCCGATCCAGTGAAGGTTTGTGAGAGAATTCAAAAGAAAAGCAAGAGAAAAGCAGAGATTATATCTCCAATTCCAAAGCCTGCCTCTCAAGAAGTGAAGAAAGATGACAAAGAAAATGCGAAGCCCGAAGAGAAGAAGGAAGAGGTTTGCCACTAAACACACAATTATTGTTTTTAATTATCCAAATCACACAAATTTTCAATATACCCAATGTTGTTTTCAAGTTTACCATTAAACTTGAGATTTGAACTCTCATTTAAGGGTGTTGGATTAAGAGCTCAACAACACATAATTATTGATGTTATTGTTAAATCAGTAATATAATAATCTCTATAATCATAGAAGAATGAAATAACGGTTAATGTAAGCATAAAATAATGGAGCCTCGAGCCTGGTGATTATGGCTCTGGAGTTTTCCTTAAAGCAACCACTAGTTATTGCCATTATTTTATTGGTTTTAATTTAATAATAAACTAGCCAGTGATAGCAAGGGGTCGAAAATTTTCATAATCAGCTCTAATAATGTTTTTTGTTTTTAGTGGGTGGTGGTTAAATGGTTTTTTTTTTTTTTTAGGACCCGGTTTCTATGCGGCTTACCCGCATGGGTAGAAATGCGGGCCTATTAATAATATCTATTTTTAAGATGGATTTTTGGACTTACGAAGGTAATCTCTAACATGAAGATCATGAATATAAAAAATATAAGTAAATTTTAAAAATTAGAAATAATAATTCTAGTAAGAAAATATTTGGACCGTTAGTTCCTATTGTTTTTAGATGGAACACCTACTTGCATCCATCTTTAAGATGGATGCTTTACACTTATGGGATATATGTAGTCATGCGGTCCAACGCGCATGAAATAATTTTCCTTCTTTTTATTTTACATCTATCCACTTGACAGTGCTTTAGCAATGTTGCACCAGTAAGTAGGGTTCCATCATCGAACATGAGCGAATAGTGATGTACCAAGTTGGCTCTGTACCCATTGGAGCACAATACTATGGCATTTTATTGATGTCCACGAACAAAGGGGGGCGACGCTAAAGGGTCCTCTAAATTCTAATGGTATTCACTATTATTTTTATAGAGGGTGAGGACAGAACCTTCCAAAAAACTATTTTGCAGATGGATATTCAATCTAGCCAAAGATTTTCTACTCCTACAGGAGTAGAATGTGCATTTACTCCTTTGGGTAAAATTTCATAGTTACTCCCTTGGGTAAGATCTCATGTAGAAATAATTCTCGGACCCCAAAATATTAGGGATGGAACTTCTTCAACACATAGATTGACCTCAATGAAAGAATTTCTTAATTGTACCTTGTAAGTACTCAAAAAACATGTCTCGAGATTAAATAGAGACCATTTAATATTTAGATGGTGAGATCTAAGTGCTAGAAAATTTAAATTTCAAAACTGTTTTTTTAAGAACAATTCTTAATTGGTTCCCAAAATTTCAGATTGAAAAAATGCTCCCAAGTAGGTCTTCTCACGGAAGGAGTAGAAATAAACTATGTTCCTGAGGGGGCATAGTATATACTCCTCAATCTAAATCTCTAAGATCTATCATCTCCATCTCAAGTCATGAATCAGAAGGAATTTTAAAAAAAAAAACATTATAGGCCTAAACTCGTTCTACTGAACTGTTCATTGCAATTCTTTAATTTACATTATTTTTGGAGCTTCAAATCTATATATCTCATATAAAAATGGATTTGCAATGATTAGAGATATGTATAAAATCCTCAATCCAAATAAACCAGGTTGGGAGCATGCATCCCCGAAGGCATGAGATACTCATCCATAAATGAGCTAACCTAATTAATAACACAGGATGGTAGGAGAGGATGGCAATAGGCATAAAGAGTTTATTGAAGTTTTGCTTTGGTGCTCATACTGTAGAGGTGGTCATACCATGCTGATTTTGACATATCGGGGTAACAATTAAATTGGACCAATGAATTATGACACATTGTATGGCACATAAATGAATTAATGCATCATCTAGATTACGACTGGAAACAAACGATATGAAATAAAAGAGCAGTAAAATGATATATACTTAACTTACCAAATATAAATGCATATTGCTATCAATTTTGTGCAGCCTACTATGATAACTGTGGTGTTAAAGGTGGGGATGCATTGTGATGCATGTGCTCAAGTATTAAAAAAGAAGATTCAAAAGATGAAAGGTATGGTCTCTTTACCAGCTAAATTTAATTTCTTAGAAAAGTCGAAATAAATTTTTCATGTATTAGTAGAGCGAAAAAACCAGAGGGATTACTTTTAGGACCCCAAATTTTGAAGATATAACCCAGGGATTACTTTTAGGACCCCAAATTTTGAGGATATAACCTCTTTAACACATAAATGAACCTTAATAAAAAAAAATTACATAATGGTATCCTGGCCATTATTTTACTGTCCAACCAGTTAATGGACTGAGATATAGAGAAAATGGGACCCACAAGACATGAAGTGTCACGAAAACATGAATTTGGTCATTTGATAGGGTCTCAGATCTGCCAAGTCCATCAGGGGTGATTCCAAAGGGCCAGTCTATATTCAACAAAAAATTAAAAAAAGTAAAAAATGGGGATACTCAACACTAGCGTACTCGACTCGGCCAATGTCCCTGCCCCTTTGCAGAGGTGAGTTACTCGGAGTGGTCATTAATTGACTGGACCATAGCAAACATAAAAAAAGAATTAAGTAGAAGAAAATTAGACCAATCCAAAAACCTATGTCTCATAAAACATAAAAGATCAGAAAATTGAGAAAATAGTAAATCAAGAAACAAATCATATTTCGACAACTCTATAGGTGTGGAGTCGGCTGAAACCAATCTAACAAGCGAACAAGTGACTGTGAAAGGAGTGATCGATCCAGCGAAAGTGGTCGCGCACGTGTACAAGACTACAGGCAAGCACGCAGTGATCCTGCCCCAAGAAGAGAAGAAAGAAGAGAAGGAAGAGGGGGGAGAGAAGAAGGAAGACGAAAAAGCAGAGGAGAAGAAGGAAGGAGAAGGGGACGATGAAAAGAAAGATGACCCAAAAAAGAATGAATTTTGGCCTTCGAAATATTATTATTACACAGAGTATGCCCAGCCTCCACCCCAGTTGTTTAGTGATGAGAACCCCAATGCTTGCACTGTCATGTGAATGGAAGTGAGATCTCCTCGTCTCAGTTTGCTTTCAATTAATTGCTGAAATTAGGGTTAAAATCCCCATTATTACACATTATTGTTAATATTTTTTTTTATTTTTTTTTTGGAGTTTTTATGCAAAGTTTAATTCTTGTATTCTTACTTATTCTAGTAATATAATGGGGTTTTGATTTTCTGAGTCGTTTGAGTAGAATGTGAATGAGAAGACCAAAAATTGAGGAATTTTCATTCGAGTTGGTACTACGTCCACAGCATGTGACCATTTAAAAGGTACACGTGCACCTTGTAATGGTTCAGATTGAACCAGGCTCATTTAAGGGCTAACCGTTGAATTTTGTTTTTTTATTTTGAAGTTTTTATTTAGAAATAATATTAATTTGAAATTTTGATTTTAGTTCCATATTTCTATGTATAATTGAATAAAAATAATAAAAAATATTGGCCAAAATAAATTTAGAGTTATTTCGGTTATTTTTATTTAAATACTTAATCAAATAAATTTAGTTATATTTAATAAAATACACTTATACATCAAAATTTAAATAAACAAATTACTTAAGTAAAAATTAAAATAAAGATAAATGTATGCTCCGTATATACCTGGAAATTACAACTAAGTTTGGTCAACACAACTGTTTTTTGACAAAATTACCTCTCAGGCCGGGGATGACATTTTCGAACTGACATTTTTTTAAAAAAAAAATAGTAGCAATGGTTTGAGGTTAGAATCCTCGAACCGATCGTTCTATTTTCTTGTACAAAAACAACGGTCTGAAGTCCTTATCTTCGGATTGCTCTTAATTTTTTGAAAAAATAGCAGTCCGAGAATTAGAACCTCGGACCGCTCCTCTCCCGCATTAACTTGCCAAGTTGTGTATACTTTGCAAAGTATTATTTACAATCGGTCATGAATTTGGGGCTTTTCATGATTAAGGCAAGATATATTTCTTTTTGAAGTGGGAAAGAGAGTGCACCTCTTGTTTCCAAGTGAGAAGAGAATTGGGGAGAGAAGGAGCGGTTCGAGATTAATATTTTTGGACCGCTATTTTTTTTTGAGATGATAACAAGTGGTATGAGGTTCACATTCTTGAACCGTTATTGTTTTATAAAACAAAGAGCGATATGAGGATGGAAGCCCGGTTTTTTTTTTAAAAGGAGAGAACTATCAGTCCGAAGATTTTAATCTCGAACTACCCTTACTAAATAAAAAACATAAAAAAAAAAATTAAAATTCTTAAGATCAAGAGGCAATTTCGTTTAAAAAAAAGTTGATTGACAGATTTTAGTTGTGATTTCCAATACACTGGAGTTTCATATCTTTTCGGATCTATAAGTAATTTTCTCTAAAATAAAATATAAGAATAATTTTTGGCTTGGTGATGTGAAATCTTAGTCACGATGTAGACGGGATACTTTTCCTTTTCAGAATTTTGTCCTAAACAATAGATGCCAGGCAACGACGGTATGGTACCGTAATTGAGTGAGGTAAGGGCGCGTTTAAAATTGAGCGTGAATGAGAGTATTTTGATATTTTCTTGGTTTTCATGGTCTCTTTATACTGGCCATGGTACGACGATGACAGTGAAACTGCAAACACTGCTACATGGGGCACTCAGTTGTACGCAAACGGTTTTACAGTTTCTTTTGCGTTTTCTATACTGAATTCCATTAGATCCCCTTTTTTCCTCCTAACCATTGTTTAAAAAAAAGGCCGAGTCGAACTAGACTTGCCCGATTCGATTCAAAAATCGTCATGAAATGATCGAATCGTTGTAAAAAACGGGAATCGTCCGGTTCTAGAGAGAACCGGACGATTCTGCACAGTGACTCGCCGATTTACTGTACGGAATCGGCGAGTCCCGTGAAGAACACGGGTTACACAGTATTCTTCACGGGATTCTTCGAAATTTGTCATTTTTTTATCATTTTTCTTGTTTTTTTTGGCATTTAATCTAATTTGCAGGTTGTAAACAGCTTTATTCAACTTTTACACGGATTAAATGGTTGAAAAATTTGGTGTTTTTGGATCACGAAACTTGTATTTTTAGGGTTTCCGCCTTTCCTTGTGTTTCATGCC